AAATGCCATTAAATCCTTGAGGAACTCATTAATAGATTAACATTTGGAAGAGTAATTACAATGAGAGTTGAAGTCAAACTAAATAAAAATAAGACATATATTACATAATTCTACTGAATTATTGAAAGAAATCAATATAATAAAATATCAGAGGCAATTCAACGTTGACACAGTTGTTTTTAAAAGGCAATGGAACATGTGCACATACATATTACCACATGGTAGAGATACTTAACACAAATGTGTTAATACTTCGTAAATTCTGTGTATACTTCCATATTTCCAAGAATGCAAAACAATATATTGAAATGAAATAAATGACCTCTATGAACATGGTCAGAGTTGATACTTTAGTGCCAATAAACTGAATCCTAAGCCAAATTGACTGTGATAAAAAACTCCGTTTTCTAAACATTGTCCCATCCTTTATGAAGGTTCAAATGTACTTTCAAATACTTTGATATAATGGGCATCATTTTTAACCATTTGTGATATACCTCTAAAGAAAAGGAACTGGTATAGTAGAAGAAGGGATTATATGTACTAATTAATAACATTTTCTATAACAACTTATTCTTTTTAAGCAAAGTCCTTGAACTATGTAAGTACACATCAGAATCTGAGTTATTATTGAAGATAGTATTACTAATTACCGGGAAAAATAGGAATTGTGAGAATATATACATTTTGGAAATCTCTGTCCTTTGCTACTTTGGATTTGGAGAAGACTTCTGTGGTTCATAGGAGCCACAGTTGTTTTCGATGGAGCATAAATTAAATATGCGAAAAGTAACAGGGTTGTAAAAGTCATAAATGCCATGTAAATGAACTTATCAATGAGTAAAAATGATTGGGGTTTTAGATTTGCAAGTTTCTTTTTTAAATGTACTTATTGATTTGTTGCAAATACTGTTAACCCCGTATTTGGCAAATGGTGAAAACATTATCGCTTGTGTTCTCATTTGTAATAAAACAGATTAACTTGCTGTGAAATTTTAACTAGGCTGAGACACAACAGTAGCCACCTAATGAACCAAAGCATATTGCAGTTAAGTAGCTAAATAGATGCATACTTATTATAGGGCTAAGAAATGGATCTGTTTACTTGCAAAGAAGAAATTGTTCATATAATTATTCATTATTTTAGGAGAACTTAAACATTCCACTTCCACAGAGATTAAAAAAAACACAACACCTAATTCTTAATCAATATAAAACACTGCATTCACATAACAAGGTTTGCGTGGTGTAAAAAGTCTGACTTCTGTGCTGCCTTAGAAAAATAACGGACTGAACCTTGATCGAATTTGGTAAGTACAGGCTACAAAATCTTAAAGGAGAAATTTTGCTTCATGCAAAATATTACTGTCACTCTTAATAGTCACCTTCTAAATTATGTTCTCAAAGTTACTTCATTGTTTCACGTAAGATGCTGCTGAAAATGCAAAGAAGGAGTTTCAGTGTAAATTATTGGAGTTTATATTGTTTGATCCTATGCTAATTTTAAATATGTTAGAGGAATCCACTATTTTTTCTTAATGAGTTAATATCAATTTCATTTTTGTTAGCATTCATGATATTTTCTATTCATATAGGTGCGCTTATGATTTTTATGTATTCATAATGAGCATTCAGCTTTTATTAGGGAGAGTGAGCAAGGCCAAGTATCACTGTCAGTTGGATTCTCTTGTTTATTAAACCATGAAACTGCATGGATCACTCAAAAATTGTTTATTTTTATTACAGCAGCATACATTGCTGTATATGTGATGCCAGTTTGCTATTACACAGTGATTTTCCTTTTGTCAGTTTTATTTTTTCACAATAACTGCTGCACTTTGTCCCTCTCCATTCATTCAGAGGTCCATTAGAGATAAATATAGTTCATTGAATTACACATATTTAAAGCACATTTTCAGTGTTGGAATTCAAACACAAATAGCAAATGTTCTGCAGTTTTTGCACATATTTTGGCGTGGAATCAGTGAGACACAATGATGAAAGACAAAAAAAAAAAAGGCCACATATATTAAATTCCTTTCACTGGTGTGTGTGTGCGCGTGTACACACACGCGCACACACACACACGCACACACGTACTATTTAAATAATATATTTTAAAGCATTATAGTTTAAGTTGAATTTCACAACTGATAAACTACAAGTTTATTTTTCAAAATTGAAAACGTATGATAGAAGGGCTGTATGGATATTGCTTTCAGTACCCGTACCATCCCTCCAAAATGTGAATAGAATTATTAGGGGAAAAAACTTGATTCTTTTCTTCTGCTTTGCTTCTATATTTCTTTTTATTTTTCCTGGCGGACATTATGTGACAAGCAGATATTTTCCTGCATACTAAATATAAGAGAAATGTATCAGTATTCTACTCTGTTTGGAAACATTGTTTTGGAGGCATGACAACAGCTATAAAGTCCTTAACATGTAATATACATTTAAAATTGTTGGTATTTAATTAGTATAAACTACAGGTAATATACTCAAAGTCTATTCATTTCACTAAAGTTATTGGGTGTTAATGAAATGCTAAGCAATAATGTAAAGCAAAATTTAAAAATATGCATACTACATTGATGACCGTATTAGTGTTCTATTGTTGCTATAACAAATTGCCACAAATTTAGTGGTTTAGCACAGTGCAAATTTATTATCTTGGGGTTCTGTAGGTCAGAAGTTGGACATGAGTTTCACTAGGCTAAAAGCAAGGTGTGATCAAGGTGTGCTGCATTTCTTTCTATAGGCTCCAGAGAAGAATCTGTTATCTATTTTCTTTTCTTCTTTTAAAATAATTTCAACTTTTCTTTTAAATATACGGGATACCTGTGCAGGTTTTTTACATGGATATATTATGTGATGGTGAGGTTTAGAGTACTAATGGCCCCGTCACCTAGGTAGTGTCTATAGTGTCTAATAGGTAGTTTTTCAGCCCTTCCCCTTTCCCTCTCTCCCCCTCTAGAAATGCCCAGTGTTTATTGTTAAAGGCCACTCACATTTCTTTGCTCATGGCTCCCTTCTTCCATCTTCAAAGCCAGCCATGTTGCATCTCTGTGACAATTCCTCTGCAATCATTTCTCCTTCTGACCCTTCTTTTCTGCCTGTGTCTTCCACAGTTTAGAATCCTGGTGATTAGATTGGGTCCACTAAGATAATCCAGTATAATCTCCCTATTCCACAATTCTCAATTGCATCTGCAAAGTCCCTTTGGCCATGTGAAGTAACAAATTCACAGGTTCTTAGGATTAAGATGTGGATTGGAGATTTTAAGTTGGGGAGGTGGCATCATTGTGCCTACTGCAATGCCAGACATTGGATAAGGTTAACTACTACTAATGAAATAATAAATTTTAACTCTCATGCTATTACTTTTGCATTAAACAAACAGTTTTTAGGGGGATTATTTGGGCTTCTCATGCAAAATCAATGTGGAAATGTACAAGCACATATTTGACAAATTATTTCTTAATGTTATGGTGATTAGAATAATGATGTGATTACAGATAATTAGCCACAACATTTAATTGAAGAAATTTATTATGGATGAATTAAATATTTTATAGAACATTCTCTGTCCCAGCATGTCTATCACCCAGTCACATTTATTGAATATGTGCATAAGCACTGCAATTTGGTTCTTTTATTGATCAAATTAACTTAATGATTTCGATTTATTCATCAATTTGTGATGCATAAACACAGTGAATAGCTTCAGTGTTTTATAGCAATTTTAATAATCAGAAGTCTTGAGAGCCATAATAATTACTGAAGAAGTATGCAAAAATATTTTATTAAAATTCATTACTGAAAGCTACAAAAAATCTATGGAATACTAGAAGAAGTGACCTTGATAGATAGTAGCGTTAGGTTTGAAAAAAATAATCATGTACTGTGACTATTAAAATATATATACTTTTTTGAGATGGAGTTTTGCTCTTTTTGCCCAGACTGGAGTGCAGTGGTACGACTTTGGCTCACTGCAATGTCCGCCTCCTGGGTTCAAGGGATTCTTCTGCTTCAGCCTCTCGAATATCTGGGATGACAGGTGCCTGCCACCATGCCTGGCTGATTTTTGTATTTTCAGTAGAGATGGGGTTTCACCATTTTGCTCAGACTGGTCTTGAACTCCTGACCTCAGGTGATCCACCCTCCTCGGCTTCCCAAAGTGCTGAGATTACATGCATGAGCCACCATGCCCAGGCTATTAAAATATTTTGTTGGCAGAATTCAACATAAGTTATTAAGGTCTGAGAGGTTACAAGTGTCTAATATACAAGTATATTATTTGCATAAATTTTGTCCACACAGAAAAGCTCAACTTGTACCAGGGGCCACGATTTGTGAGTTTTATTCCAGGGCTCTCAAGTCTTTACATTTGGGAGTTCTCCTTCTTAATGAGATAGGAGTATCACCCTTCAGGCCTTGCTATGAACTTTACATCAACCTAGAAGTTACAATAACAATAACCTTCAAAACACACCTACACTATTAATCATTTATGAAGTTTTTAGGAGAGCACATGGAAATTAACTTTTCTTGACCCTTTACCATATGCTTTTTTGTCTTTTTCCATAATTTAGCCCTCATGATATTTTATTAATTTCACAAGAATCAAAAATATATTTTTGTTTAAAGATATATTTTTTGAAACGTGAAGAGGAACATCACACACCGGGTCCTATTGTGGGGAGGGGGGAGGGGGGAGGGATAGCATTAGGAGATATACCTAATGTAAATGACGAGTTGGTGGGTGCAGCACAGCAACATGGCTCATGTATACATATGTAACAAACCTGCACATTGTGCACATGTACCCTAGAACTTAAAGTATAATTAAAAAAAGAGATATGTTTGTAAGACGAATTATAGTAGATGAGTACACTTTCACAATAAGTGAGAGGTTAGCATTTCAAATGTATGGACTCAACCAACATAAAAACTTGGCGCATAGATGACATTTCCTTTTGTGTTTCCTTTTGTGTCAGGAGCGGATCCCAGAGAGTTCTTCTCCTGCTCCTTCTCTGGAAGAGAATCATCGTCCTGGGAGCCAGACCTCTTCCCACTCCAGCAGCAGTGTGTCCAGTTCTCCCTCTCAGATGGATCATCACTTGGAAAGAATGGGTGAGTAACTTTTCGGAAACAGGTAATTGAAAAATATTGTTTCAGGAAATTAGTTGTTAGGAAAAATAGAGGAGAGGGAAAAGCTGGGGAAGCTGACACCTCTTTAATATAAATAGCTTTTTGAAAGTTGGTCATTTGTAATTGCTGAAACAATATGACCAACAAAATGAAACTTACATTATTAGAAATTTGTTCTCTGCAAAGATCTTCCTTTACTGTATCATTCAATCTCATGGAATTAATATGATGAACTGTTTGTAGAGTATATGTGAGTTCTATATGTGATACAATATACCTGACACAGTCACAACATCTTTTTGAATAAGGGAAGTTGAAATATCCTTTAGGCAGTTCCCCTTTTAAGAGTGAAAAAAAGTGAATCAATATAAGATTTGCCACAATCTCAACAACTTAGATCACAAATATTTAACATGATTTCCCCCATGGTTATATATATTTTGTTGTCTCAGAAGCCTTACACCATAGACACTATTCCAGAAATTGGTTGTGATGTGGCATATTGGGAACTTTAGTCTAGCTATAGGTCTGGCACTAACTAGCTATAACATCTTGTGTATGCCACTTAACCACGATGAGTTTCTTTACTTATTATATGGAAAAAAACCTTATCATCCTGTCTAATGCGCTGGATTATTGAGAGGTGAAATGAAACATTATGTGAAAAAAGTGCCAAGGAAGTGTGGGTGATAAAAATTACTCTTCTCTGTGTGACTTGACTTTGATTACTTATCATTTCCTGCTATCTAATTCTACTCAGGTATATAGAAGTCGACAGGTACATCCAGCTGTAACAAATTCTCATTTAGTGTATAGTAATTACCGATCAATTGAGTTAGGTAAAATCTTCATTAATCTTCTGTACCTACACAGTCCAATCTCCTATGTACCCATTTCCTTTTGACAAAATGATTTTTGCTATCCCTTTAGTCTTAAAGGGGGGAAGTTCTTTAAGTGAACTGTGAATGTTTACAGCTCATAATAGCTATTGCTTTCAGCCTTTCCAAAATAATGTATTTTCTTGGGGGAAGAGAAATTTGGGAGATTAAGGAAGGTTTTAGATTTCAGAAGGATGAAGACTATCCCTTGGGGAAATTAATCCAAAACTCACTTAGCTTGTCAGTATTATATGTTTTTTGGAGCTCTTTAGCTTCATGGTGAGCATAGTGTTTCTCACATCTGGCTCCCAAATATAATCACCTATGGAGTTTTTATTAATATGGATGCTGAGGCCACATGCTCAGAGTTTGATTCACTTGGTCTGGAATGGAGCCTGGGCAGCAGTATTTTGTTTTGCTTTTCAGCATTTCTTCCGTAGATTCTTATGTTCAGCCAGGGTTAAGAACCAGTAGATCAGAGCTTGAGGCTAATGTCTCTCAGAGAGTAAGTTTAATTCCTGGAAGACCTGATAGACGTCTTCTAGCTTTACTCTTTTCTCTGACATAGACTACCTGGTTGTTACAACATTGTGTACAACTGATTCAAGAAAGTCTTAGAAAGAACGAGAGTCTACAAATGAGTGACCACTAATGAATCAAGAAGCAAAAGGACACATTCTTCTGTTGGGATACCATTCATATTGATGAGAGTGGGAAGAAGGAGACAAAAAGGGGAAAGGGATATAGAGAGATAATTATTTATTGAGTGCTGACTAAAAAGCAGAGCACATAGGGAAATATACTTGGTAATAGATATATCATAAAAGAATGGGCAACTTATACTTAGAAGTAAAATCAAACATATCCAAAGCAATGTAATATCCTAGAAAAAAATGTTGACAGTATAGTTTACTTCTAATTACACTGGCAGTAATTAGGCTCTATATGCACATTCCACAGTTGTCTAACAATGATACCAAGATTGTCTATAAATAAATAAAAAGGCTTGAGAATTTTTACATATTACATTTACACTTACCATATTTTATTAATAGGGCTGTATAATGTTCGAATAAAATATGACTAAAGAGAATTAAATTATAAACTCTGAAAATTAACAGTTTTTCTCTTTCAATATGTTTTATAAAGAATCATAATAATTTCCAGAAAGTTATATTATCTCTCAATCTTGCTCTGTTTAACAAGTTCATATGTATATATGTTTATGTACTAATTATACTTTAGAACTCACACGATCAAGCAGCTTACTGATTTTTTCATTATATGATCTTCAGACCAACAAAAAAATCTTTCTACTGTTTTAGAAATAGAAGTACATAAAACTTATGTTAGTTGTTATTAGATTATATTAGCCATTTGTGTGATGTTTTCTGCCCTTTTTTCTGGGTATTTACATAGAAAACTATTCAGTTACATCTCTTATTTATAGTTATGATGCCCAGCAATAGAGAGGGACTTACTGTGGTTCAGGATAATGGACTAACCATCAAAAAATTCCAAAAACATAATAAAGGTAAAATGATTTTTGCTTATTTGATACACATATAATAATCAGATACTAACTCAGTTAACACCCATGTGCTGTATACTGCATCCACATTTCCCTTAGTAAGAATAGATTCATACTAACTTTGGATAAGTTATTTTAATAGTAGAAAACATGATGTTTATCTGAAGCTTGTTTATTTGGAAGGTTATACATTACATATCCACCTGAAATTTATCTGTGCATGTGGTTGGAAACTTTATCTTAAGCCTTCTTACTATGCCAGTTCAGAGACACCTGACGTCCTTTGTATTATATGTTTACTTTTTTAACTATGTTTAAATGATTCGCCATTTGCTGGTTGTAGTTGACGGTTATATTTGACAAAACTGAGTTGCTGTCACACAGGGGAGCTGCTTCTGTCAATCCTTGAAAGTGATTTTTAAAATATATACTAATTTGGACATTTCAGATGAAAGCTTAGCAAGTTAGCCCATCAGGTATTTACCTGGAATACTGATACATATTATCTCAACCTGCCTTTTGATCAGCTGAGGTACATGTATCACCTCGGCATAGTATCCAGTTTTGTCTTAGGAGAGCTGTTCAAGGAAGATAAAGAATTTTAAAGTGATGCTCTCCTAATATGAAAGCTGAGTACAACTTTGTTTATAAGGCTGAAAGGGTAAGAGAAAAGGAAAATACATAATCATATGGCATAGATGATACATTATTGCTGTCACCATGAGTTATACAGTAGCTAACATATAATTTCTCAGGTCATCCGATAGTTTATTTGTACTTCACCACAGGGTAAATTTTTCTATCTACTAAAGGTGCCCATAATATATAGAAAAAAAATACTTCATGAACTGGAGAGTTAATGAAGAATATTTTCTCTTTTCTGTAAACTGAATGTGCTTCATAATTACTAGATGAGCATTTTAGTTGGAATTTGAAATAATGTATGATTTTAATTTCATTGATCTATGGTTGATTTCCTAGCCACATGTTTTGTCTTTTCTTAGCCTGACAGTGAAAGGCTATACCCTCTGGGGCTCCAAAATGCAAATGACTGATTTTGGATTAGTTGTCAGAATGAAAGTCAGGTTCATGATATTAAACTACCCAAACTCTTGCACAGGTAATGAAAGTCTAGTTATAGATGAAACTTCGTTTATAACCCAGCAAGAATTTGTTCCCGAAACTTTTTTTCCCACCATCTCATTACTATTTAAAGGACATCTTGGTAGTAAAGCAGCTTTGCTAGGAAAGTCCCAAGCTGTACGTGATGCCTATAATACAATCAGAGTTGCAAACCCCATCAGTCAATATGGCATTTGGGACTGTCCTGTGTACTGCAGCATGCAAGTGTACACTATTGTGGCCTATGAAAAATCAGCTGGAGCATTATTACAGGTGCACAGTAACTGATTTTCATAAAATATATAGTAGCATGCACTGGTATTTCTGAAGTTCTTGCTGTGGAATGGCAGAATTTTACTTGTTTAAATCAAATAAGTTGGTCACATATCCTGATGAGGACGTTAATAAGCAAGAGTGGCATATGAAACTGCACCCCAGTTATAGTGGAAAGGTTTTTTTAAAAAATGGGATTCTCTATGTCAAGTCCTTCCAGTTATATTTGTGATGGTAAGAAAAAAACATATTTTCCTGAAATAGAGTTTAGTTATTAAAAGGGAATGAGTTAAAGTAGAAGTGTCAACATTTATTAACTGTGACAAATAAGCAGTTTATACAACTGTGGCAAACATATGTTTTCACATCTGCTTTGAGTATCATCATGATTTTAAAAATGATTTATAGCTCTGAAAATTATAAAATGCCAGCTTTGCTATTATGAAGGAATTTTCAGAACATAAAGACATACCTTTAGACTATTCATGTAGCCCACCCTTACTGTATCTGGTAAAACTGGATGACATTATAATACATGTCTCAAAGTCTGTATGACCTGAGCTTTCACGGCATTGATATCCATTTTGACTGTGCCCAATATTGTGATTTTAGTTTTGAATCAAGTATTTTGAATAAACTGACTGATCAGTCAAATAAGGCTTTTGATTTTATTTTTTCACAGACTTTGTCAAATAAATTGACCAAATTAATCACGTTATGACATTGTGTGATGTGGTCTTTAACAGTCAGTTCTGGGATTCTTTAGAGTACAGCAATTATGACTATTCACTCTAGTTTACCTGCATGGAAATAAAGGCACAGAGTAAAATCCCCTTCCTCTGGCAGCCACTTATCTCTCAAACTGCTATTGGGAATAGGGTTTTTGTGATATTTTGCACTGGGAAGTAAATGTTTTCAATAGAAAACTCTCTATGTGTAAAATGCCCCAAGCACTCTGATTAATCAAGTCTGATATGCTACAGAAATAGTTGAACAATAAATTCACCACCCAGCCCAAGAATTTAGCCCATTGAAATGTTACATGTTAACTCAGAGCCTACAGATGCACAGCTAATAGTTTTAACGTCCTTTTATCACAATAATATATATATTATGTTTCACCTTGAATAAAAGCATTGTCATATTTCTTTTTTAACTTTTAAGTTCAGAGGTACATG